CGGCAGGTGCTGCGCCGCTGAGCTCAATCCCCGGCCCCCTCCCATATACTTTAAATTATCTCTGGAGTATTTATATCTATTACAATGCAAATGCTATGGAAATAGTCAAACTGCTGTATTATTTAGGAATAGTGATAAGAAAGAAAATCTGTATTTTGTTTCACAGTGGACCCTTGACTTATGAACTCAAGTTGGTTTTAAGTCAAGACTATTTTTCCCACAAGAAATAATGGAAACACCCATAATGCATTCCAAATCTCCTAAAGCACCCCTTAACTAACCTTTTAATAATAAAAAAGGGTTGTAAAATGTGCGTAATTTACCAGAATCACCAATAATTTTCCTAGTGCATTCCCCAAAAAGTTATAAAATGTGCCTCGTTTACCAGAAACAACAATTTCATACTGTTCTCACCATTCAAGTTGACATCTTTAGCTTTCAGGAAAGGAGGATGCAATGGAAGGTGGTTACTGCTGCTTGGAAGGAGAGTCCCATTCCATAAGAATATCAGGAATCTGGCTCTCTGGTTTCCTTTCTCTCCTTGAGAGAGTCTGTAGCCCACTAGGACCTGCTTCTGGCTCACGAAGTCTCAACCTCTTCAGAACAAAAAACTGATCTAAGGTTGTTTGTCTGCCTTTTCTTTAACACTGTTCTCTAGTATGATATGACATTGTCATTAAGCAAGCGAATGCAACAATTGGCTTTTTCTGTCTGGATGGGTCTTCTCTACAAATGTTTGTAGCTCTGTGCATTTTTTTAGGATTTCCTTTATTTCAGAAGAACTTTGCTGCATTGACTGTTGATACTCCCCCTCCTCTTCAGAAAGCTCCTCAGCTGCCATTCTTTGTTGCTGAGCCAGAAGTTCCCTGTAGATAATTTCTCTGAATGTTTCTCCACCAGTTCTTCAACATCATCACCGTCTAACCTGTAAGCCTATGGACTCTGCTATAGTAATAATGTTATCAACCACAGGGACTGAGCCAGGCTCCTCTATACAGCCTTCAAAGTCACTCTCCTGTATAATTTTAGGCCACACTTTCTTAGGCTAATGGCCTGACATTTTTTTCTCTTCCTGGGTAATGTTTGTTCTCTTCGGCAATTTCTTCCAGAAAAGGACAGTTTTCTCACTGTTGAAAATTTAATGAGAGCAAATGCCATTTCTCTGTGACATCATTTCAAAGTGGTGTATGTAATTTTCAGCAGCCCTTTTATCAGCATTGGCTGCTTCACCATGCCTAGTTAATGCTATGAACCCCAGTTCTCACTTTAAAATTGTGAAATCACCCCTTACTGCCATGAAAGGTTTCACCATTATCACTCGTAGATGGATTATCCTTTATGAGATAGCCCTACCTTTTTCACAATTACAGACTCAGACAGGCTATAACCTGCCATCTGCCATTTATCCACACTGATAATAGCCTTTCTACCTTGTCTTATCACTGTTAATGGTGACTTACTAATTTGAGTAACACCTTTAGCAACACTAGCTTCCTTACACGAATCTTTTCTCTGTAAGATTGAGATGGATTTTGATATGCTGCACATATTTGCGAGATCAGTCACATGAATGCCACTCTCATATTTCTCCACAATTTCCTTCTTTTTTTCAACTGAGATTGCTTTCTTCTTTAGTTTCTTTTTTGGCTTTTGTGGGGCCATTTTGATTGCAGTAATCATAGTGATTACATAAAACACTGACCATAATCACATCCACAAACCTACACATCTGGACTCGGACTAATGCTTACCTATGTTTGCATACACTTTTCTGGTGTCAAGAGTCTTTGTTTACAACCATTCAAGTGGCTGGCATTTGGGTTGTAACTCAGGACTGGTTGTAAATTAAAACTAAAATTCTAGTTGTAACCCAAGTTGATCATATGTGCAGCTGGTCGTAACTCGAGGGTCCACTGTATTTTCAATCCACAGTTGACTGAATTTGCAGATGTGGAGTGCAGATATGGAAATATCTACTGTAAATTAAATTAATCACAAAGTAGTGACTAAGTGCCTTTTATGTCCCCAAACTAAGGCCCTTAGTGTAGATCAGCATATTAACTGAACTAGAACTAATATGAACTGAACTAATAGAATTGAACTAGAACTAATATGGATCAGCACATTAACATGCATATTAACAGCATATTAACTGAACTAGAGAACCTAAAATAACCTTCCAATTCAAAACCTAAATCCTACATCAGCTACCACAGTGCAGCTAGTATGACAGGTGGGGTGAAAAGTACCCATTCTGTGAAGTTACCAAAGGGAAGAGAGCTTTGCATAATGAACAAGTCTTAAGATGGCTTAAAATAACATTTATCAAATACATACCATATGTAAGGTAATATTCTCCTTATAAAGCAGGTATTATCACTGCCCAGTAATATATTAAGAAAATGAGGCACAAAGCCATTAAGGGATTTGCCTAAGATTGCACAATAGATAAACTTATGTGCCAGGCCCAAAGCAGGTAAATGACATAAAGAATGAAAGAAAGAAATCAAAGATTATGTCATCCTTTCAAGTTTAGGAGATTCAGAGGAGGGGCAGAAAGAAATTAGGTAGGGGTAGAGACTGGGAAGAAGAAATAATGGGTCCAAACATGTTCAGTTGTTGGATGATAACCAGGGAACTGGAGCCCCAAGTAGTTTTGGAAGCTGTCACAAAGAGGTATAAATTGACAGTGTGACTAACAACACAGTCACTTGGGCTAGGATGGGATGGAGGGGGGTCAAGAACTGAGCCTTGAGCAACACTGTAACCAGGAGAAGGGAAAACTGACCAGTAAAAACAGGAGAGATTAGATACAGCCGTTTCCCAAGGCCCCACTAGGGCCAGTCACCTTACCCAGCTCAAGCTTTTCCTTAAAAAGTAGTTTTGCCACATTATAACATTAATGTCTGTGTAACAGTACCAGACACGGGATCCAAAAGCCAAACCAAGAGGGATTAAAAATAAGGGGGTCATGTACCAAGTGCCACTGACCTTAAGAGGTAAGAGGAGTAACAAAGGGCAACAGTAGCAGTGCCACAGGTACTACACAAATCCCCTTTCCTTGGAAAGCTCTCTTAAAACAACTGTAGTTATGCTATAAACAAGCTATTGAAATAGGAATGAAGGGCAAATATTTTAATCCAAGGAAAAAGGACAATGAAAGAAAGGAATATACAAGCATACAGTCAAGAGCAGTGGATCCAGTGATGCTCATCTTATAGGGCTCAAAAAGTGTGATGACAGGCTTAACTTGCTACTGTCACCCCTTCCAAACCTCTGTCACATGCCCTTCTAAGTAAGCTAATCCTCCCTTCTGAGAAGAATCAAAATCAGACTTCAGTGACACCTTACAAAAGAGAACATGAACAATATCTGAATCCTGAGTAAGTGCCAATGCTTTTAAGCATTTAATGGATTAACTTCTCTCTTTTCTTTTTGGTACCAGGCATCGAACTCGGGTCCTTGTGTTTGTGCAGCAGGTGGCGAAATCACTGAGCTAAATCCCTGGCCCTTAACTTCTCTTTTTAATTCTCACAACAAAACCATGAGGTGAGTTCCTATTTTCAGATGTGGAAACTGAAGCACAGAAAATTGAAATAACCTGCCCCCAAAACACAAATTTTCATAACCAAATAATGAGAATAACAATACTTACTACACGTATATTGTTATCTTTAAATTATTTAGTACAAAACATAAACCAAAAAGATTCTTACAAAAAAGAAATAGGTAACAACACAAACTTTCTTTTCAACAAAGATGGAGTACTACACTGCCATAAAGAAAGATAAACTTGAGGCATCCATAGGTAAATGGATGCAACTTGAGAACATAAAGTGAAATAAGTCAGACACCAACACACAAGCTCAGATATCACAGTTTCTCTATTATGAGAAACACTAACACACACACACACACACACACGCAAACGCAAACAGCAAAACAAAAGAGACAAATAGGAAGTAGGAAGTTCAAATACTTCCCCAAATTACATATTCCATTGTTTAAAAAAAATACTGCAATATATATGCTAATTTGTTTCGGTATCTCTTAAAATGCTGAAAATTTTGTGAATTCTCAAATCTCAAATATAAATCATATATATAGCAATAGTCCCAAATAAATTCATTCTGCAAAAACATTTAAAAGGTTAACTAAATGAATGTCCTCTCAGTTTATCAATGAGCAAAAGATGTACTAGTAGGGTGCTCAATTATATCATCTTACACCTGGGGTCTGATACTGCTTTTAACTAAGAGTTTCCTACAAGTAACGATCATAATTACTCCTAAAATCTAGTTAGGACTCTGAAGAAACTCCCAGAGGGAAAAGAGCAGCAATGTCTTCATTAGGCAGTTTATGTCAAGGAAATTTAACCATCAATCTCTGTTTCAAAAGGACATGTGGGAAAGCAACTCATTCCTAGAGCACCAGGTCTCCACTGACCACCTGAAAGATAGTATCTGCCTCATTAGAGGTTGAAAGCGTCAAGTTTTTGAACTGCACAATAATTTGGTAGAAAAAATTCCAATGGAAATGGTAAGTCCAGTGGAATACTCACTAGGCAATTATGGAAATACATTGAGTTTGCCAGAAAAGGGGTTTTTAACTCGAGAAGCCATGAGAAATAATCTTACGCTAACACTCATTTTCCTTAAAAAAAAAAAAAAAAAAAAGCCACCACCACCACCAACAAAAAACACCATTTGGTAAAAACTTTTTTGTCTGACTCTGCCACTCTGAAAGGTCCCACGAGGGCGCCCATCCCTCGCTGACCGGCGAGGTGGCAGAGGCAGTTGCAGTTTGTCGCTGGCCCTCAGACCTGGGAGCCACGGCAGCCGTCTGCGGCCCGGGGCTCTCGCTGGGTCACTGGGGCGCACAGCGCGGGGTGCGACGCACTCGCCCGACCCCTCCACGTCACAAGAACCTGTACGTCTGCAGATAAACACTGACGAGGGGCACGGAGGAGGCACAAGAGAGCCCCACAGGGCTCCACTCACCAGGAACTGGAGCATGTTGGCGGGGAGAGCCAAGGAGGAGCCCAGGGCCGCCACAGCTACTGGAGTCGCTCCAGCTACCTACAGGGCGCGAAGGCGGAAGCGGCCGCCGTGAGCTTCCGGGTCACCCCCCCCATTCCCATGACCGGAAGCGGCTCTTGGTGCCGTGGCGCCCCCTGGCGCAGCGCTCCGGTGTCGTCGCCTGAGCCCGGCCGGCTAGCGGCAAGGTACAGGCCTGGCTGGGCAGCTTTGCGCATCAATCTGTGTTATTCCAAGACTCTCGATGATTCTGCTGCACAATTAGGTTTAGGGCTCTCTGGCCCAGAAGACGGGATGAGCAGCGGGTCGCATCCCTGAGTGCGCAACTGAATCGCCTGGGAACTTTTGCATTGCCAATCCTCGCTAGTCCCACGAGGACTACGAAGGAAAAGGAGCGGGCTGTATTTTTCAAAAGCTCCAGGAGCGTGATGTGCGGCTGAGTCGAAGACCCATGGTAGAGGTCAGATGCTTGCTTAATTGCTAGGATAGAGGCCTCTGGTGTGTGTCTGGCACAACTAGGTCCTAGTCCTGATGGTCTTGCACCGCCTGGTAGCCTTGAGCAGCAACCTAACCTCTCTAAAGCTCGGTTTCTGCCACTGTGAAGGGGCTGCACACCAGATAGCAAACTGTTGTGGGAACCAGTTCAATTGAAGAATTGGTTCAGACAGCAGCTCTGCCTGGGGGCCTCTCCCAGCTCCCCTTTTACCACAAAGCTGCCTGCCCCAATCACACTGCTGGCCACCTCCTGCTCCTAGTCTTATAAAGTCTCTCAAAATGCCCCCCTACACACACACACACACACACACACACACACACACACCCACCCCCGATACCACCCTCTCTCTTTACTGCCCCCCTCCCGAATTCACTTATCTACTAATTTACTATGAGCAGAAATCTGGCTTCAAATAATAGAAAACTAAATCATATTAGCTTAAACCAAGTGGGAATGGACTATATGGATACGGTGGACAAAGACGGGGTACAGGAAAGCTGCAAGAATTTAAACAGCATATTCTGTATTCCTGTTTTCTGCATACATTTGCTCTATTGCTTCTATCTGATGAACTGACAAACTACAGAGATCTGTATGATCTCAGGTTGTAGGAAAAGTTTAGATAAAATATGATAAAACTTGGCACCCACCAAATTGGTAAAAATGTGAAAAGCAGGATAGATGGAAGTGTTATCAACAGTGTGGATAAACAGGACTTTTCACTCTTTGGGTCAGAGTACACTGCAACTTTTTCACAAAGAAACAATTTCTGGCGAAATAAGGGATTTAAGCTCCAAGGCAAGATTTCCATTTCTAGTGGTATTACCCAGAGAAGCCTGCTTACGTGATGTATGTCTTCCCCAAGGAGATATGTACACTAATCATCGTTTCAGTGTACAAAATACTGGGAAGCTAAATGTCTCCCAGTCCACTGGTAGTCCGGGTATAAGTTAGGCTATTTGTACGATGGGATACTGTCACTGTTCAATAATCATAATAAATGATCATGAAAAGTTATCAAAAACACAATGTTGTGCCAGGCATGCTGGTGAATGAATACCTGCCATAACAGCATTCAGGAGGCTGAGACAGGAGGGTCGTGAGTTCAAGGTCAGCTTGGGCTATAGTGAGACCCTGTCTCAAAAAATAAAAACAAAAAATACAATATTGAATGGAAAAGCAACCTGTAAATTGCTTCATACAGTAAAGACACATAGGAAGATTGTGTGCAAGACAACACGACTGAATGCTTGTGAATACACACGTAAGCAAAGGAAGCAGAAAACACGTATGTAGTGAGAGCTGTGAGTGGAGAGGGGGCTCAAGTTCCTGACAGTGGTGATCTCTGGGGCTGAGGGGAGTAGGGAAGTGGGTAAGAGTTCCCGGGGGGTCTCAGTGGAATCTGTTTCTTTTCACAAAAAACCAAGACCTGGAGCAAATGCAGTAATTTTAAGATTTGATGAAATTAGGTTTGACATGAAAGTAGAGTATCTGCAAGTTTATTATATTATTATTTGGTTTTGGTTTGTGTTTTTTTTTTGGTACCGGGAATCGAAATCAGGACCTTGCTCTTGACAGGCAGGTGCTGATTTTATTACTTGTATGATTGAAACAAAACATGATTTTTCAAATATTTTAAGAGAAATGACTAAAGCAATGGTGGAAAGGTTTTCTGGGAATGAGAGATTCATTCTCCAAGTACCACCCCACAGATTACTTACTGGATTGGGAGACAGATAACCTTTAAGTCATAATGCCAAGAGCACCTTGACCAAGTGTTCGGTCACAGCATCATGAAACACACTGCTGCGCACCTCCTGATAGGAGACCGAGAGCGCAGTATCACCTCTACAGTTCAACTGCGACCAAAAGTGTAAACATTGAATCTAATCCAATAAATAAAATACGGAAGCTTCTTAAAATCAGCTAGAATGTCACCCTCACCCCCCAAATAAAAGGGGGCAAGGAACTATTTGAGAATAAAGATGAAGAAAGAGGTAACTAAATGTAATGATTCTTGATGGAATCCTAGGTTTTAAAAAAGTTCTAAAGTACATTTTTGAGACAGTTGAAGAAATTTGGTATAGATGGGATATTAGAAAATTTTATTATTTTATCCAATGTCTTAAATGTGACTGTTTTGTTGTTAGGAAAGAAGCTATGCTTATTCTTACAGAAATAGGATTAGAGTGCCATGGAGATTACAACCTAAGGAAGAAAAATAGTACACGTTCACATCTAAAAAGATAAAGCAGTGTGCAAACTGTTAGCAGTTGCTATCTAGGTGAAAAGTAGATATATATGGTTTCATTATACTTTGCTTTCAGTTCTTCTGAAGATCCAAAATTCCTCAGTTAGGGAAACAACAAATATTCAGAAAAGGCTAGGTTGTGTATTAACAGCCTGTATAGCACAGATAAGAAATGTATCAATTTATCCAAACTATCGTGATGACTACCAAGAGGGAATATACCTCCTGATTTCCCAACCTCAACAAACTGATCAATTCAGTTAAAATCCTACATTTATTTAGTATTTTTGAGGAATGGGTAAGATAAGCCTTTCAATGCTAAAATTTTGAGTCTCTAAAACTTGGTTTTCTCTTCTTTTTGCCTTGCTGAAGAGCCTCTGAAGTACCTAACACCTCTCCATGCCCAGGTAAAGATATCAGGCCAAGTCATCTACCGTCAGACAGCACTTCCGGTCAGCAGGCACAGCACTCCTCCCATGTGCCTCGGCACTGCCCCAGCTTCCAATCCAGTCAGCTGCACTTTTGGAAGAAATTATGGGAAAACAAGGTAATTGTGTTTAGTAAATCCAAAATTCTTAGTTCCAAATTTGGCTAAAATTTTCTCTGGAAGACTTTACACCACAGGTTTATAAAGTTTGGGCTCTGTGGGAGGGTTTTTTGATTATTGCTCAGTTGGAGCCCATATCCTGGCTAAGATTACTCCCTGTGGGCTGGGGGTGCAGCTCAGGGCCAGAGCACTTGCCCAGACTGCATGAGACCCTGGGTTTGATCCCCAGAACTGTAAACAAAACAAAAAATGTTTGCTGTAGGCTCAAGTAGTGGAGCATCAGGCACAAGGACTCTATTTTGGATCCAATTACATCTTCGTTCATTTCCCTCCAAGACATCTATTTGCTGACAGGATGCTCTCCAGCCAGACTGTTTATAACTAGTAGTCAGTGAACTAATTTCAAAACATAACAGTGATAAAACCTGTTTTAAAAGATGCTTAAAAACCATGGAAAATTTAAAATTAAAAAGAAAAAAGTACAACAGCATAGCCCCATGGAACTACATGTTAATTTTGTTTCTATATGAGAGTCAAGGTTATTTCTCCTCTCAGCAGTGTCCCCTGTGAACTAGGGTAAAATAACTGGTGGCTGGAAAGGGAAAATGCACTTTCAGATGACACAGTCAGTAGAATGCAAATATAATTGGGCAAGAAATAGAGTGGGGGTTAAGTTTTTTGCCCTACTGGCACCCACCACTCTAATGAGAAACACAGGCAGACTAATTTCAGTCATTTCTACAAATACAAATTACCAAATCATCATTTAATGCAGAAAAAAGGCAAAAAGACTGGGCATGGTGGTGCACGCCTGTAATCCCAGCACTTGGGAGGCTGAGGCAGGAGGATCGCCATGAGTTTGAGGCCAGCCTGAACTACAAAGGGAGACCCTGCCTCAAAGAAAAAAGAGCCAAAAGCTAATTACTCAAGAGAGATGGCTTAACTTTTTGAGACATATCCACAGTACATGTTTCGAGGTACTGAGTAGCTGGTAGATGGCAGGGCACAGCTGCAGTTTACTATCCACTCTACCCCATGCAGTGTGGATAAAAAATGTCAAAAGTGTGATGTAAAAAGGTAAAAAATATTAGCATTTCCAGACTATGCCTTTAATTTAGCATTCAGAATATCTCTAGGAGAAAACCATCACTGTAAAATGTTTCTATGTTAGAGTATCAATGATAATGATCATTTCCTAGATAAAATTTCAAAAAACTGACCAGGTATTTCATTTTTTAAAAAAGTATTTATTTTTTCACTAGTGAGGATAAAATCAGGAAAAGATGTTTACAGAAAAGATTCCATATATAAAGAAAGAAATAGCAAAATATTTTTGGTCATAATTTAGAAACAAAGTAATCTATAAAAAGGAGACAGTTTTCCACAATTCATCTCTTCCACAGAAGAGCACTAGGTGCAGGCGCTCAATTCCTTGATAACCTCAGTAGGCCGCCAATACGCCTGACAAGAGCCTGTATGAAACTATAGCGAGATCGGACTTTTGAATATAATCTTTCGATGTCCAAAAGCTTCTTTTGTAGTGATTCTCCAAATGCGTTGATGGCATCAGCCTGAAGCTAGAGGTGACATAGATAAGATTATTAGAATTGCTGTCTCAAATATCTTCTTTCTATAGCTTCCAACTTAAAAAACCTTTCTATTTTTGTAATGTGGTCTTTCCAAAGTAAAATACTTTGGGATTTTTGTCATGTGATACCAAATTAACTACACAGTCACATTTTCTACCTTAGAATTTTGGGTATGATCTTAGTGTTTTTTCCTCTTTCCTTTCTTGTGTAAATGAATGTTTTAAATAGCAACAACTACTGATGCTGCTATACTGACATATATGCAAAAACAATTCCCAAAGGGCCACATAAATTAGTTAGGAACTCAGGGATGGTGACACACTTCTGTAATCCCAGAATCTCTGAGAGGCCGAGGCAGAAGAATAGCAAGTTCAAGCCCAGCCTGAACAACTTAGTGAGATCTTTTCTCTAAAAAACAACAAAACAAAACAAAACAGGTGGGTGTCTTTGTGGGAAAAAGAAGGGGTGCTGAGACAGGAGGATTTTTGTGAGCTGAAGGCCATCCTGAAACACATACTAACACCCGATCTTAAAAAAAAAAGCAGAAGGAAGAGAAGGAAAAGGAGGAAAATGAGGAGGAAAAGAAGTAGAAGAAGGGGTAGGTGAGAAAAGCATTTACTTTCTACTTTATTTTGCAATGAAAACATTTGCATGCATTTGTTTTTAAGAAATAGCAATGGGGGCCTGGCAGGGAGGAAGCTGGTATACACTTCACAATTCAAATGTATTTAGAATGCATATGTAGTTTCAGATTATCTTTTTGATGTTATACCGAAAGATAAAATGAAGTACAAAAGTACATGAATCTACCCTGCCTTCAGTTTTGCATTAAAATCACACAGCAAGAATGAGATAATTTATCCTCCATTTTTTCCCCTTAGCTTTATGACAGACCAATCTAACTGGGAGAGTAAAAAGTCATTAATTCAACAGTCATTTATTAAACATTTTCTGGATGATCTATTCTTTGGCCAATTCTGTACAGGGCCTCAACCCTCTACTTCCTTTTATAAAAAGGTCACTGAAGGGCAAACACAGGCAGGCCCAGGGCAAGAGTGTATTATTCAGGACCTCTAGGGGGCTGGGTCTGAGGGCTGCTGCACCTCTCTTTCCAGGTTAAGGCCCAGCCATCAGCTTTACAAAAGGCAGCAAACGAGGATTTGGGAAAAGAGGCCTTATCAAATCACAGCTATAGATATCAGGTGCCTAGCAGCAGATCTAGCTATAATCCATCTTCCCTAATCCACACTGTCATATACCTGCTTGGTTGGAAACAAGCCCTCATACAAAGTTTTCACTCACACTGTTTCTGGGATATTCTTCATTTTTCCAACACTTCAGATCAAGAGGATACTAAGAGCATAACACTGCATGTTATAATAAACTATTACAGTAGAATTTTCACTGGTTGCTCTCAATCTCATTCTTAAATTATTTCCTGGAAAATTAAATGCTGAGTGATACTTTGTGCCTAAAGATTCTGAAAAGCTAATAAAAATAGTAGAGATGTACAGACTGCTATAGTTTGGGTGATAAATGACCCCCCCAGTCCCTGTGTTATAAACGCTTTGGCCCCACAGAGGTCCTTAGGTCACGATGGGTGTGCCCGTGGAGACAGGACTCTGGGACCGTGGATTTTCTCTCTTCTGCACCCTGCCATGGGATCTGTAGCTTATTCCACCAGCTGTCCTGCATGCCCAACAGAGGCCCCATGCCTTGGGTCTCCCCAATCTTGGGACAGAACCTCACAGTCTGTGACCCAGAATAAATCTGAAGGTGATGGAAAGCTGTCTAAAACACAGACCATAATGCCTACCAATTACTGAACACCCACCACCAGGAGCTTTATATACATGAAACCTCACTTAACTCTGACAAGATCTTCTGAGGTTGAATTATCATTTCTTAGATGAAGAAATGGAGGCTCAGAAAGTAATTTCCAAGCCTCATAGCTGTTAAGTTAGAATGCATCTCAGATCTCTGTATGCAATCCTGAAAATTATAATCTTTAACACAACTGGCTTTCCTTTTTACTTTACGAAGAGAAAAAAAGAGTGAGAATACAGCCTTACCTGCTCTATATCATGTTGGCTCACTACAGTTGGCCCAATTCTAAAATCCAGACTGGTTTCTGTGGGCAAGGAATCTAGAGAAAAAAGACACAGTCAAATGAGCTCTGCAGGTCTATCTTCAGCACAGTGGGCAGGAGAACCTGGTGACTAGAGCAGGAGTCCCAAGAGAAGCGGTCGGTCCAGACTGGGAACCTCTCTGTAGCTCTTGGCCACAGAAGGCCCTGGGAGGCCTCCCTGAGCCAGGCCAAGGCTCCTATACTTTCCTTCTGTTCCTGCAATGAAGAGACCCAGACACCCACAGGCCACATGGCCTCACTTCAACCACAGGCATTATAACCTAGTCGCTGCCCTGCTTCTATGCCTCCGGAGAAATGTTTGTGACCAGAGGATCCCAGAGCAGAGTTAGCCCTTCACTGAAAGAAGGTAAAGTGCCACTATGAGATGGCTCTACAACACTCTTGTGCTCAGCACAATTTCCTATGGACAGAAAACAGAATACAAAAAAAAAAACAAAACCTGTGTCTACTAGTAGCTCTTAATTACCTCATTCACTCATAGCAACCCACAAACACAAAAATTAAATAAAAATTGGGCTAGGGATGTAGATCGGTGGTAGAGCTACAACAAACAAACATAGTTAGGTTTACAGCTGGCACACCTGCAATCCCAGCTACTGAGAAGGCTGAGGCAGGAGGATCACTTGAGCCCAGGAGGTCAAGGCCACCTGGACAACACAGCAAGACTTCATTGCCAAAATTAAAAAGTGACTACTTTTTCAAGGCACTATAATACACTGACATTTATGATTCAACAATTTGCAGAATGAAGTTTACCTTGTAGTCTTCTGCTTTTAAATAAGGGTCTGGAGGCAAATAAGGAATCTTGGGAATTCATGGGTGAGCAGTGTAACATGTAGTACTCCAGGTGGCGCCAAAGAACAAAAAGGCAGGTCTCTATGATATCTGTGCACTCTGGGTAAAGGACAATAACATCATCATGTGTCTTCACACCCAGCTTCTGAGGAGAAAAAAAGAGAGACCACACTCCCACAGTGATGCAGCCACACCCATGGCCTGCCAGATGGTGAGGTTCCACTGAGCAGCTTTCAGAGACCAGCAAGGGGCTGAGCAGACGGTGGGCTGGGTGTGCATTAGCAATCTGGAGTCCTTACTCCTGCCCTGACACAAAGGGTCTGCATATATGGTAATATTACTGGCTACTCGAAAAGCAAAAATTACAATTTGGATATGTACCAGCATTTACGGGAAAACAACAGTAATTATGTTCCCTCCTATCTAGTTTTAGTGGCCAAATAATGTGACCACCTATAAACAGCTCCTACATTGAAAGGTCACCACTCAAGTCTATGACTTCATAAAGGATACAAGAACACAAGGAAAGCAGTTTGGCTCGATTGTTGATCAGCTTCACTAAGCACCGTTTTGCCAGAACATATTTCTGGGTAGTGGAGATTTTATCAACACCACCAGGCATCACAAACTGACACAACTAGGAGAAAAAAATAAACATTATTAGAATGATATAAACTGTAACAAATTTAATGAAGGTCTGCCATTAGAAGGTCACTTTGAGAAGTCCTGTGGAAAGTACTCAAGTTTAAATATCCTTGCACACAAGAGTCTGTTATATAAAAATGAGAACCAAAGAAGCAGTCAAATTCACAGCAGCTCCCTTCTCCTGTCCTGGCCATGGACACTTCCAACCTATTATGGGCTTACAGCCCTGCAATTCTTGTCACATGAAATTCTTGCATACTTTGGTACCAGCAGGTGAAACAACACCATGGAGCATCTCTCCAACAGCTGTCAGGTATCTTCTGAAGATGAAATGTGGACGTCTAGGGCACAGCCAACATGCAATCATCCACCCTGCAATCATACCCTCCCTGGCATACAGACAAGTTCAGAGACACAGATCTGACAGAAGGGGTACTATGATGGGCTGACGGAACCTACCTGCTGCATGTGATGGTGTAATTCATCCTGCAAACATGGCCCTCTATAGCCTCAGGTTCTGCATCTAGATTCAACCATCTCACTGATCAAAGATTATTTTTTAAAAGTACTGTGTCTGTACTGAATCTTTTTTGTCATTATGCCCTAAAAATACAGTAGTATAGTTATCCAGAAATAATTTAAAGTATATAGGAGAATGTCTGCTAAGCTATATACAAATGCTACACCACTTTATTAAGGGACTTGTCCGCCCTCAGATTTTGATACCCTTAGGAGTCCTGGAATCAACATCCTGGCTATAATGAGGCATCGCCAGTACACAACAGGGAGAAAACAATAGCCAGCCGTGCAGTTTCAGGAGTTACCCGCACCTAGTCAGTAACTTATGCCTCACCCTATTCCCGTTCCTGTGTGTCTTAGGGCAAGTCATCCAAAACTGCTGTGCCTCAGTTTCCTCTCTTCAGAAATGGGAATAACACCACCACCTTCCTCCTTATTCTGGTAGAACATGCAGCTGAGGGCTTGCTCAATAAACAGTGCCTTGGTTATCAGAAGAAGTAGGCTTTGACTGTCCGTAAGAGTGACAGGGAATTTTTCAGGAAGGCTGGTGGTAAACTAGGACTGGCAAAATGGCTCCACATCCAGGATGCCATGGGACATCAGGAAGCTTCAGCACCACCTAGGGAGTGGCTAAGAAAGGCCTTACATGTAGTTCAGCTATCCTGAGAGGAAAAGAAGGCAAGATACTCAGGAAACCAGCCTAGTAATCCCGCATTGTTAGCTACAATAAGGGCAAGAGAAAGACTAGGGCCCTGAGAAATGGCATCAAGTCTAATATGTTTTTCCACTTGTCTGAAAATTTTCACTAAATGGATACTGAGGGCACTGAAGGCAGAGACAGTTATCTAATTTCTACTACAAAAACATCTGCAACTGGGCTGAGTATTTAGCTCAGTGGAACCGGACCGTGCCTGCCTCACAAGCGCAAGGTCCAGTTTGATCCCTGGTACCAGGGGGAAAAAAAAATCTGCAATACAAACTCCAATTTCTCAGCACAGATTATAGAATGTAAATCTCTCAAAACTCTCAAAGGCCAGCTGCCTTTCTATTTTGAATGGGGGCTACCCGACTATTTTTCAGTCAAGAGTGTCCATGCTTAAGGAGTGGGTGCAAAGGCGAGAATAAGTTCCTTTCTCGCTCAAGTTCTTCCAAGCACACAGAAGAATCACTCATTTCTTTAGTAACATGGGAAACATCATCGTTTACTCCCATACCCAAGACCAGTACCCTCCCCTTATTAGTAAAAACAACGGTTTTTCAAGTTTCTGCCTCAAGATTCATACCTCTTTTATCTCATCCGGGGGAAGTTGCTCTACGTTCTGAAGCTTGTTGACACTGCGTCGGTGACTGTCATAATAGCTGAAGAAATCATTGGCACTCTGTTTCAGCAGGTAGACAATAATGCCCAAACCAGGAAGGTGCCAATATGGAACCACTGGAGCTTGGGTATCTAATATAGTATAAAAAAGTGTTCTGCTTACAAGCATTTTATATGAATTTTAAATGATCTGCTTAAAACAATGGATGACCCAGAATTAAAGGGCATGTAAACTATGATTAAAACCAACCCAAGACAATGTTTAAATTATCACTGATAGTTCAAGGAATAAGTGGCCACGAACTAGTAGAATCAGGTCCATATGAAAGGCTGGAGACCTTAAGAGAGAAATCCACCTGGTAGACATCAGTTGAGCTTTTCCTTTACTAGATGAAGACCTTCTCTGAGAACTTTATGCGAGTTATACACCTCTATACCACCTCCACACATATAAACAGTACAAACCGTATGTATAATTTGGGGGGGGTTTCAGAAGTTCCTTCCTCACCCAATGGCTCTAGTTATATGGGTTTATTCTTAGCTGCCATCTTTCTGGTTACTGAATTGACAATTCAAAAACAAAAGAATGTTAACTGAAATATTCCAAAAACATAACTGGATTTAAATTTCAACAAATCTTTTACTACAGCTCCATTCAGGCAGCAATACACAATGATTTGCCTTTTACCCAGCAGCCTTCCAGTAAGAATGCAAAGAAACAGTGGATGACATCCAAGTCATAAAATCAGAGGGAAGAAGACTAAGAAGCAATAATAATACCATCCTAGAGAAAGTTTGTGTGGTGAAACTGGAGCAATTTATTCTAGTGACTAAGGGATTTCATGAAAATACTTTGGTAACATTAAGCTCAATTTGGAGATAATCATTGTTTAATGGCCTTGCTTCCTTCACCACCAATTCCCTTAACTTTGCTCTAAAATCAGATCTCATAAATCTTATGAGGGATATATTATCTATGGAAGCTGCCCCAGTCAGGATCTGCTAGACAAACTGGATTTGCCAGGTTTTCTTTGCCAGTCTTTAGGGAGGCTGTGACAGCTTTCACAATGGAGGTGGTGTTTACAGAGCCTTCTCCTGAGGAAGATCTACACAAAGAGCATGGTCTAATGCAAGAGGTTTCCCACGTATTTTAAGAGTTCTCACCCACTAAGTTGGTCAAGTCTAGAAAATAGTAGAGCATTCAGAGGCTAAAAGACATCAGATGATTCATGAGAAACTGGAGTACAGAACCACAAGTATAGGACTACATGGGGTAAGAAGTTGAAGTGCTACAGAACAGGGTCTTTGGATCACCAGTAAAAATGAATGTACTGTGTGATAATCACAACAGTAATAATGAATATAATCACTAACATTAAGTATGCTAAGTGGCAGGCTCTGTGTAAAGCAATTTGCATACATGAGCACATTTCTTACAGTAAGTCTCTGAAGGACAGCTTCCACTTTACAAATAAGGAAATTAAGGCACAAAGAGGATAACTTTTCTGAAGTCATACCAACTGTTACTAGTAAAACTGGGATTCAAATCAAGGGAATCTGTCATCAGCCTGTGTTCTTACCCACTAGGTTATATTGCCTCTCTATTCTCAAACCTATCACATACCTACCTGCTCGGGTGTCTAGAATTGGCAGAAGACAATGTGGCTGTTAACATAAAAAAGTCTAAGGAAAAATGACAACTAATTTATAAGGCTTCATAAAGTTTATCTTTTAAGTATTAAATACAAATAATGTCCAAGACTGTTTCAAAAGAGGCAACTAACTGAAAATTTCATCATCATCAATAATATCTTATTGCCATATGATAAACGTCTCTGGAGAATCAATGACAAAATTACATTTTTGCTTGAACATCTGATATTCAGGTTGAACTTGCTTTAAACTATTAGTTTCAGTTAGAGGTCTCCATAAAATAGCAGAAGACAGACACTGGCGAGACAAGGCAGAACTACTGTCTGGAATCACAACAGTAGGTGCATAGGCCAGGGCTCAAAAGAAATGATCAAATGCAAGGGGCAAGAAGAATAGGGAAGAGAAAATTATTTCTAGATTCTCATTGTGGTTGTGATTACACAACTGTTTATTAACAAAATTATGAAAACTATCTAAAATGGATACATTTTGTTGTATGTAATACTTCAATTTAAAAAAGAATATAACCCTATTAGCCAGGATACTGTATAAGAGAGTGCTTTGTATAGTGTAGGTTACATGTTCTAGAATAACATCCTCAGAAACCTACCAAAGGCTTCCTAAAACCACCGCTACTCCATTCTATTACCACTATACTGAGATGCTAATGGGCTTTGTCTTTGAGTATCCACAGGACAACAGTTCCTATCAATCCATAGTCCTGCCTCGTATTCCAGATCTTCTCCAACTCGTAAGGAAATCACAGGCTAATCAGCCTCCTTAGTATCTAAATTTTACTTTGCTCTATTATAGAAATCTGAAGTTATAATACAAACCCAATTTAGACACTGAATTCACCTTCACTTGATTTAACACACAAAACTATCTGTTGTATTTTCATATTTTTTACCCAGCTTACTTTCCAATCTTAGTTATTTTCTTTGGGATCTCAAGTTCTATTTAAGACTGTACTCTCCCATGTGGCTCTTTCAGATTCAGAAAATCCTGAATTCCCCTATTCTCTTAGCTCTCCAGGCTCATGACGGTCTGACAATATTACCTCCCATGTTTTCTTTAAAAAGTCCTTTTAAAATTTCCCCATTAATGACTTAGATAATGAAAAACACTGCATTTCACTGGAGCCAGGATGGAGAGCTGTGTCATAATCACAGCAGCTTCATTCCTCAGACACAGAAAAACAAAGTGGGCTCACCTTGGCGTGGTCCATCTCTGTTAATGCTTTCTGAAAGGCTAGGGGTGAAGAGACATACAATGTGCTGGAGGCTAGGGGAGCTCTGGAGTATGAGTGACTGACAATACTCCATTACATTGGCACAAATCTATAATGAAAGAAGAGCAGCAACAAAAATATTAGCCCCCAAAATAACCTGATGTCATGGAAATCTAGATTTGAAGAACAAGAATATAAATCAATTTATAAAATTACATACTTTGGGGGGGACTGAGGATTGAACTCAGGGCCTTCATATTGAACTCAATCCCCAGCCCTTTTTATTTTTTTATTTTGAGGCAGGGTCTCATTAAGTTGCTCAGTCTGGGCTCAAACTTGTGATCTTTCTGCCTCAGCCTCCCAGAGTGCTGGCATTATAGACATGCACTACCACACCTAGCCACGTCTGTTATTTTTGTCACATTTCTCTTAAAACACAAAAACCTTACAGCATTGTTTCATAATCCTCACCCTCTTACCTGCTGCATGGCCAGCTCAACCTCATCTTTCTTGCTCACTCTGTCTCCATCCACATTATCATCTTGGAATTTAAACTGACGCAGTCTATCAGAACCACCAAAGCGACTTAGCAGTCCCAAACACTGGCGCTAAAAAAAAAAAAGGTATTTTGTTCCTCTAGTTGAATGTGTTTACATTAGTGACTTCCTTCCTTCCTTCCTTTCCTTCTTTCTTTCTTTTTGAGACGGGGACTAGCTGTGTAAATTTACTATGTAGTTCAGGCTAGCCTCCAACTCATGCCAATCTTCCTGCCTCAGCCTCCTGAGTACTGAGATTACAGGCATGCGCCACTATGCCCAGCAGTGACATATTTCTTGAGGGATGGAAACAAGAAACAGCAGGGAATGGTACCACCACACTCAAAAGCACCAGGTATCTTACTTCTCACTGAGCCAACAAAAGGTAGCACCTATTAGAAGATTACCAATTTGTTCAGCAGTTAAACCCCAATCAAGTATAAATGTTTGGCTAAGAATTTTATATGTTAGATCAATAAAAGGGACTACTTAATAGTTCTTCGGGAGAGAATCATTAAATAATACACAAGTTGATAAATGAAAAGCCAAAAAAAAAAAAAGAGGACAAGAGGGTAACAATCCATAATAATTTGACTACTAAGGCACACATTTATAGAATGAAAGAGGCGAGGGGAGTCTGTCCCTCCTGAGGATGTTCCTAAGGACTTTTGGGAGGGGTTGGGAACATACAGGTTGCTGTTGCAGAAAAAATGCCATGACACCAGATAGAAAATGTTGAGAATACAATTGTTCCTATGGTTCTAAGAGGGAAAGGACTAGCTTTTCAAGTGATTAGTACATGGGTTTGGATTCAGAGATGTGGATTCTGTCAGCAGGTGTAATTATTGCTATGTGATCAAGGAAAAATTATTTAATTTCTTCACACTTCTATGTTCACATTTTTAAAGTGGTAATAATTTCTATCTTATGACTGCTAAGATTACCTAAGACATTATTTTATCTTTAATGTGCTTAGCACAACATTCTGCACTTAAAATACTATAAAATTGGTAACATTATATACAGGGTCTGACAAAAAGTGTACACATCAAGAAAAGAAAAACTTGGGGGCCGGGGATTTAGCTCAGTGGTTCCAGCACCTGCCTTGGAAGCGCAAGGTCCTGAGTTTGATCCCCGGTACCAAAAAAAGAAAAGAAAAGAAAAACTTGTATAAATTTTTTTTTTTTTGGGTACCAGGGATCGAACTTGGGACCTTGCGCTTGCAAGGCAGGCGGCAGAACCACTGAGCTAAATCCCTGGCCCCATTACTAAATTTACTGAGACATCATGAGTTTAATACAATTTACTTTTGGCCTCTACAATTACAAGAGGTGCTTAGAGCGGTGGTCTTTAGCTTCCAGACATTTATTAGTACGGCAAACTGCTGACATGTGTATTCATTTTTTTGTGTGTACACACAAAGATGCACAGTACATACAAATATACAATGTCTTACTATTTGAACTGATGTTAGATTAAATTGAGATGGGGAAAACTTATTAATGAGACTATAACACCCTTATTTTGCCAAGATAGTCCTACTTAAAAAACTTAGAAATGTGTGTTGCTCCTCTTATAGATAAAAACAAATGTGGTCAGACAATCTCAGAGATTACTTTATGATCTACCAAAAAGATCCTTTTCTTCCTGCTGATAAAAAAACCTAGAAAACTCAAAACAAAACAAAACAGTACTTGGGTTTTGTTGGTAAAAGTGCAAGGGGATCACAAGCTGGAGCCCTGCCTGGGAAGCTTAGTCACTTAGCAAGACTCTGCCTCAAAATAAAAAAAAGAAACTGGGGCCATAACTCAGTGCAAAGGGCCTGGGTTCAATCTCCAGCACAGCAAAGAAAGAAAAAAATGTGCAACCCTGTCTGGAGAGACATTTGATAGACATTCGATTTCAAAATGTACTATGTGCATATCCTTAGACTCAGTTATACATTATATATTATTTATTCCAGAATTCAAAATATATCCATGAAAATACTAATAGCAATATTTTTCTGTTTTAGTAGTGCTGAGGACCAAACCTGGGGCTTCAAACTTGCTAGGCAAGCACTCTACCATCAAGCTACATCCCCAGCCCTAGCGTTTTTCTTTTGAAAACTGGAAAAAACAGTTAAGAAAAAGGAATAGATTAGCCAGGTGTGGTGGCATACGCCTGTAATCCTAGCACTTGGAAGGCAGAGGCAGGAGGATTGCTATTCATTCCAGGCCAGCCTGGGCTACATAGTGAGCTCAAGCCCAGCCTGCACTACAAAGTGAGACCCCATTTCAAAACAAACAAACAAACAAATTAAAATACACATTCAAATATAAAATTACTCCACAGCCAATAAAAAAATGAAGATGCTCATATCAAAGCAAGCCAGGAGGCTTCCAGAAAGACTCACAAAATATCTAACTAATAAACTATCTAGTATGTTCAAACATACTGAAAGATTACACACCTAGAAGAGTTTAAAGATAAATGAGAAATAAATACCAAATTTTAAAGAAAAAAAGCAGCAGCAGCAATTATCAACTCTAGGAAAAATAAAACATCACACGGAAAAGTAACAGTATTGTTCATGGCTTAATAAACAAGTGACACAGTCATGATAATGAATATTAATATAATCAAAATTATAATTATATTGACTTTCAAGGGATGTGATGGGAAATAGACATTGTATGGTGGAAGAAAAGGAATAAAGCAATCAAAATGTTCATCTGCAATGGAAAATCAAAACATGATTCACAAAAAGAGAAAAATCAAGTAGCAGCAATATAAGCATGCTCTTTATAGATAACAAAGAATCAGAAGAGTTCAGAGGGGCTGACCAATCCTAGGAGCAGAATGGGAAGGATGGTCAGAGGACTGTTGTATTTTACAACACTGCAATTTAAAGAAGTAAGGATCAGTTACCTGAAATCTTCCAATATGGCCCTGGAGCTCCATTAGAGATCCTTCGTTTACATCCACATCAAGTTCACTTAATATACCTATGAAATTTGGAGTACTTTTAGTACAATTTTATTCTAAAATAAAAAGGTAGAGTTCTCATATTTTATATTAAGTGCATGAACAGACTTGAGAAATCTGTGCATGAAAGTCTTGAGAAATATGCTTCCTCAAAAACTGCAAGTGCCTTTCATGTAATGTAACATCAGCTAAGTACCTTCATATAATACTAGCATGTGTGCATTTATATGCAATCTAGATTGGTGATTTCAAAGCCTGTTTTTAAAAGTTTTCAAGAA